GGGATTGGCTCCTCTCTGGAAAGGCCCCGCCCCCTAAACCGGGACAGGCCCCGCCCCCTGCAGGGGAGACCCGCTGGGAATGGGAAAACAACCGGGACAGCAACTGGGAAAAGAGCTGGGAATAACCGGGATAACGACTGGGAATAACCGGGATAGTAACTGGGAATAACCGGGATAACGACTGGGAATAACCGGGATAACAACTGGGAAAAGAGCTGGGAATAACTGGAATAATAACTGGGAATAACTGGGAAAAGAGCTGGGAATAACCGGGATAACAACTGGGAATAACCAGGACAACAACTGGGAATAACTGGGATAGTAACTGGGAATAACCGGGATAGTAACTGGGAATAACCGGGATAACAACTGGGAATAACTGGGATAACCACTGGGAATAACTGGGATAACAACTGGGAATAACCGGGATAGTAACTGGGAATAACCGGGATAGTAACTGGGAATAACCGGGATAACGACTGGGAATAACTGGGATAATAACTGGGAATAACCGGGATAACAACTGGGAATAACCGGGATAACGACTGGGAATAACCGGGATAATAACTGGGAATAACCGGGATAGTAACTGGGAATAACTGGGATAGTAACTGGGAATAACCGGGATAACAACTGGGAAAAGAGCTGGGAATAACTGGGAAAAGAGCTGGGAATAACTGGGATAGTAACTGGGAATAACTGGGATAGTAACTGGGAATAACTGGGATAGTAACTGGGAATAACTGGGATAATAACTGGGAATAACTGGGATAGTAACTGGGAATAACTGGGATAACGACTGGGAATAACCGGGATAGTAACTGGGAATAACTGGGATAACAACTGGGAAAAGAGCTGGGAATAACCGGGATAATAACTGGGAATAACTGGGATAACAACCGGGAATAAACGGGATAACGGCCGGGAATAGGAAAACCAGGAACGGAATTGAGGGAATGGGATCATCGGGATAACCAGGAATGGAATAACCAGGATAAAAGGGAATGGGATGGAGGGAATGGGAACGGGAATGGGATTGGGATAACTGGGAATGGGAACTGGGAATGGGATTGGGATAACTGGGAATGGGAACTGGGTATGGGATAACTGGGAATAGGATTGGGAACTGGGAACTGGGAATGAGAACAGGAATGGGATTGGGATAACTGGGAATGGGAACAGGGAAAGGGCTTGGGAAGGCTGGAGCTGATCCCAGAATTCCCAGATTTATTCCCAGAATTCCCAGAATCTCAAACACCGCCCTGGGGACCAGGACAAGGCCGGAGTTGGTCCCAAATTCCAAAAAATTCTCCTCCCCCATTCCCGAATTTTTCCCCAGCCGGAAGAGCCGCCAGCCTGTCCGTAATTAATTGGGTTTAAATTAATTAACTGGGAATAATTAAATTAATCGGGAATTAATTAAAATGTTCGAGGAATTCATCAGCACCTGGAGATCCCGAAGGACTCGGGGATTCCAGGGAAATAAAAATCCCTGGGAATTCTCGGCCTCCGTGAATCCCAACCAAAACCATCCTGGAATTCCGTGGATTCTGTGAATC